CGAGACCAGAACCTGACCCAGTGAGCGAGACCAGAACCTGACCCAATGAGTTAGGCCAGTCCCTGACCCAGTGAGCGAGACCAGAACCTGACCCACTGAGTGAGGCCAGCCCCTGACCCAGTGAGGGAGTAGTTGTGTATTTATTGTGAAACACTATGCTTTGTTCAGCTACACACCAGCAGTATTAGTTGTATAAATTGTGTTGCTTCAAGGAAAGCAGTGGAAAATGTATAAAAATACATGTAAAAGTTCAAAGATGTAAATACAGCAAGAGATTATGCAAGTGTGAAGAGTAGAAAAAAGTTGTTTTTGTCTTATAATTTGAAGCCACAGCTGCCAAGGAAAATGTTTAAGCCATTTTGCGTTAGCTGACAATTGTCCTGGACCATAATCCTGGACAAAATGCCCTGAACCTTTAAGTCCTGTATTTTTTTTCCAGGAAATATCTAGGATTCAAAGAGAAATATGTGAAAATGGCAGTGATCCTTATTAGGAATAAATTGCTTTCTGTTAATGGGTGGACTAGTTAAATTTAATAAAGTAAATACAATTTATGCAGCTTATCTTTTATTATTATGTTTCATGTATAATATCATGTAATATACATTATGTATATCTTTTCCAGAGAGCTTGATGAAGAAGTATCAGCAGAACTTGAAGAGGTGGTAAGATTTTTAAAAAGAGTACTTTTCACAACTGGGTTATATCATGGAAATTGTGTACAGGCAGTACTGTGGAGTAGAGATCAGGACTGGACTCTGAACTGGAAAGTTGTGGGGTCAAATCCATGGGGAGGCACAACCGTTGTACCCCTGAGAAGGTTCTTCATTACCAAACTGAGCTTTATAACCAGATCCACAAGTTGTTAATAATTCCATTCTGTGTGGAAGCATACAGTAGGTACTTTCACCCCCTGTGCTGGTGTGCTGGTTAGTGCAGCTTTTTCGCAGCTCTAGGGTTCTGGGTTTGAATCTTGCTTGAATTCAGTGGAGTTTGCATGTTCTCCCACAGCTTTGTGGGTTTTCTCCCGGTGCTCTGGAAGGACATACTGATCAGGTCAATGGCCACATACCTTTCATGTGTGAGTGCACCCGGTGATGTTTTCACATGTGCTCAGTGTCTGCTGGGTTAGACTCCACAGCGCCCCTCTAAAGATAAAGCCATTACAGGAAATGGAAATGTAGTGATACAGTAAGTAGCCAGGGCTCTGTCTGTTGGTCAGCATGTTACATGTTGCATGTTAATTGGTATCCTTCACACATTTTTTGTATGAGAGTTGTGCTAGAAAACGGCGATAAACAAATAATTATTCAGAAATTGCATTTTTTTTAAAGTTTGTGTGTCACTGTGTTAATTGTATTGGAAAAAAAGTCTAATACAATTGACCATTATTTTCATGACATTTATTTTCTATTGATAGCAATGAAAACAGATGTGCATTTCTTGTGATCACCTAGTCCTGTGCATTGTTTACTGAACAATGAATCAGGTACAGCTTTAATCAGTTGAACTCCTGACTTGGTAATGAAGAATATGCCCGGTTGATTTTCTCTGTTTTGGATTTTCTTAGGAGGAGATATCGGAAGATGATATTGACGAATCTTTCAAGTCTATGTTTGCACAGCTGGCTGGTGAGGTAAGTTGGTGTTTTTTCTTGCTGATTTCCTGGCCTTTGGGCAGGGACCTGCCTGTCCTGCAGGGTTGATTGCTGGGGCAGGTGTGGGACTCGTCCCAGGAGCCCAGTCTTTGTCATTTCCACGGACCAAGAGACTTCATGCGCCTAGTTTGCAGTTACTGGCCCATGAAAGCCACAGTACACGAATACATGTAATTGATTCCAGTGGATTACTGGTGGCCACAAGTCAGAAGGACAGTCTTCCTGCAGGAGTGAGAAGATGAGGCAGTGATGCTGATAAAGCTCTTGCACAAACATACACACTCTCATTCTTTCAAATCTGAAATCAAACTTGGAATGTGAAAAATGAGACAGCAGCATATTAGCCGAAATCTTCTGAAATAGCCAGTATGTTGTTAAGAATATCAAAAGTGTCTTTAGAGTGTATGAGTAAGGTGAATAAGACCTTCCATACTGTAGGAGGTGATAAGGGCATTTCTGACTGTGATCTTTGCTTACTTGCATTCCAGGACATGGAGATCTCTGTCCGTGAACTCCAGACCATCCTCAACAGAGTGGTGTGCAGGCGTAAGTGTCCGAGTCTCCTGCTTCCTTTCAGGATGTGTGGGCTTGATTGGTTGACATGATGTAAAAATCCTCAGGTGTGCTCACAGCTTTAATTTGCAGTGCTCAGGGAATTGACTGGGATATGTATTCACTATTTATTTTTCTGCCATTGTCACTGAAAGTTGCTTGATTGTCATGTGAGTCCATTCTCATCGCATGGATCCTTGTCCATGGAGATCGCGTGTGACTTCAGGCATGTGGCATTCTGCAATCTGATCAGGGCTGACAGCGGAGCCAGTAATGAGGCCATAATGACTTCAATCCTCTTGCAGAGAAATTGCAAAGCGTGTCCATGGTCATTATGGTCTCATGCAAACTAAATATTGAGTTCCATTTATAAGCATTGGAAATATTAGTATCTTGTGAAGTCAGCCTGGTCACCAGGGCCATTGGCAACTGTAACACAGTGAACTCTGGGAGTCTTTCCCTGCTTCATCTCTTAGTTTATTTTTATGCTTTTATGGGACTGAGGTTGTTAAAGTGGATGTACCTTCTGTGTCAATGTTTCAGACAAGGACTTAAAGACAGATGGCTTCAGCATGGAGTCCTGCAGAAGCATGGTGAACCTCATGGATGTATCTTTTATCAAGGCAAAATAAAGAGCAAAGAACCAGTTCTCACAAGAATAAAAACACAGTACACTAAGCTGTATAAAAGAGCAAAAATGTACCTGTAATCATTTTTTCCAAATTATAAAACCAGCAGTCATTAGTATAACTTATATTTGATTCAGGTTGTTTTTGTAATAAATTGTCGGTTTAACTTATATCCCAATTACTTAAACTCACAGAAGTGATCTTCCTGTCTCAGGTTCTGCAGGTTAAATGATGCTTTATCATCATCATCTGTGGATAGAATTACATATGGTGGCAAAAAAAAAATTTGTAACAGAATTTTATGTGGGGGACTTAAACAGTAATTGGCCTTTAATTGTGAGCTACAGAAAGCGGGATGTGCCCAGATCTGTTGTTTTGTGACCTGTCCACCCATGTGGGGTGAATAAACTCTGAATAAGCACATGGCCGGATGGTCCTTGACCCATCCTCTGGTACAGAAGGACGGAAGTGCACGCCTGGGCCTGGTGGAGTTTCAGATTCTGTGGAACAAGATCAGGAAGTGGCTGGTAAGCATGCTGCTGCAGTATTGGTACTGAGGATTGCACTAGCACTCAACACCCCACATTGTCAATTTGTCTGTCTCTCTGACTAGGCTGTGATTTCAGTCTTCATCAACTGTCACGTCACTCCTCAAAGTCTGAATGCTTGCAACACCTGCTACAGAAAATGATCCATTTGGTCTTTTTAAGCACTTCATGTTTCACATTGAATAGGATGGTGTGAGATTAAATATCTCAGTCATAACAGTGCCTGCTCATGTAGATTGGGCTTCAAACAAAGAATGTATGTTTTCTGGCTGCAGGATCTCAGAGTGACCGTTCACAGCTTAAAATGTCCTGAGCACACAGCACTGCAGTTGTAGTTCAGTTAGACATTGTGCAGCAGAATGGTGAGCACAATGAGCTGTTGACTGACGTAATGCAGAGCAACAGCTGAAGAGAACACTGATCAAGTTGTTTCACTGATTTGTGCACTCTGACGTCTGACTTTTTATGAGAACTCCTAGGGCAACCCAGGGAAAAGTGTACCTTTTCCATCACCCCCAGGGCCCCGGTTTGAGAACCTTTAATAGAGTTGTCTCTTTACGAAATAACTGATGTTATTTCCTGGTTCTCACGCTCAGGGCATCTTCAGACAATATGACCTTGACAAATCTGGAACCATGAGCTCCTATGAGATGCGTCTGGCTCTTGAACCAGCAGGTATGTTCTATGATGCTGTAGAGTCTATAGTGTTATGTGTAGGTGAATAGGTAAGTATCTCCTAGTTACTGTGGCTTTTCTAAAGGACAGATACCCTTCGTTCTGCCTTTGTTCATATTGTGACACATTTGTGCTTGTGTTATTTTGATCTTAGACAACATCATAACTCAGCACTGCAGTGTACAGTGTCTCTTCCCCGTCTGCCACAGATATGTTTCTTGAAGAGTGTAGCCAGTGTAGCCAGTCTACACAGCCAGTTTACTATGGTATTTTTTGTTTGAAACTTCAGTCCCTTATAAATTTGAGGCAGTGTTTCTCTCTTATCACGCAGCCCCATTTGTCATTGCTTACTGTTATTGACCTAAACGCAAAAAAAACAGATTAGATATGTGAAGTATGTGAAGTGGAATGAGTCACTATAGTATAAATATTTAAAACTGTTAAAAATGAATTCATCTAGAGCTGAATAAGTCCAACAAAACAACACAGCTCTACAGAAGACATCAAAGCTCAAGCTCCATTTTTCCTGTGTTTTTCATATTCACGTCTGTTTCAGGCTTCAAACTCAACAACAAGCTGAACCAGGTTCTCGTGGCTCGATATGCTGACAATGAGACCATTGACTTTGACAATTTTATCTGCTGCCTGGTCAAGCTGGAAGCCATGTTCAGTAAGTGTGCAGGCTGCTCTCCTGTCTGCTCTGCTTGCAGCTCCTTGCAGAAGGGGATGGCAGTGCTAAATGCCAGTGAGCTGTTCATCTGCTTGATTTCTTATATATTTCTGTTATGCCGTTAGTTAGGTTAGATTAATCTTTTATTAAGTCTTTCATGATATTTTATGTCTATAATATACAAGAGAAAGGCCTACTCTAGAAGGCTCATTCGAGACTAATTTTCAGCCTTGGTGCTGAACTGTAGTACTTAGTCTTAAGTTTCTCAAGTCAGTGTTCGTCACACTGTTCAGGTCATCCTCAGTGCAGAAATGTAGATTTTTAAAGTCACTTTCACGATGTTGCATTGTGTTCAGAGCAGGAGTCTTTCATTGATGCTGCTGTCTGCTGTGAGCAGCTCAGTCTTGAGCAGAAGATGAAAATGCAGTGCTGTAATAAAGATCTGAGAGGCACTTCCTGCCCAAACCCTGCATTATGCAGGATCAGAGGAGTGTTCCCATGGAAACAGCTGACCTGCGTGTTTCTTTCCTCAGGAGCCTTCCAGGACCTGGACAGAGAGGGGACAGGCGTGGCTGAGCTGAATCTCACAGAGGTGACATGTATACTTATTGTCACAAAAGTGTTTTTCCATGTCAGGTTTTTTTTAGAATTGTTGGTGCTCTGGTGTTTAAGACTGCTGAAGCCCCCTGTCTCTGAGTGCCCTGCCTGGCTGGGTGTCAGACTGCGTGAATCTCTCCGCATTTTGCCACAGCAATTTCAATGTCTCTGTCACCTCCTCCATGTTAGTCTCTGCTACAGATTTACACAACAGGTCAAACACGTGGTCAGAGTGTCAGAAAACAGCGTTAAACCTGTTATCAGAGAGGTCGTACAGGCTCTGCATGGTGTAGGAGCCCTGAGCCCTCTGAAGGGGGCGCTAGAGAGCTAGATCACAGGGAGTTCTGTGTTGTCTAACATTCCTGAAGCCCCGCCCTGATTTTTTTTCTGCTGAAGTTATGCAAGACGTGAGGTGTGTTGAAATGCCGAGTTCTTATCTGAAACATTTGTTCTCTTCTCCAGTGGCTGTTCATGACCATGTGTGGTTGAAGACACCCTGTGTCTCCCAGAAGAGCTGCAGTATAAGGGCCAGTGCATCCTTCCTGCAAGTGCCTCCCCCATGAAGCATTGCACCCAACACCTTTTTACAACTCCTCCATCCCTCTACTAACCCAAAGATACCTGCCTGTTTATTCGTTGAAGTGGCCTGAGTTGGGCAGGAGCTTCTGTTGTATAGCCACAGTTCGGAGCACGTCTGCTGTTCTCTCTCAGCCTGCTGTACGAGTTATTTTCATATCATAACTATGCAACCGTCCAAAACATTGGTCTAGAAAGGTTCAGTCACAGTGCAGAATATACTGAAACCGTGAGGTCCTGTACAAGTCAAGCCCTCAAGCCTCTGCATTTCTGTACATAGTGTTGCCGAGTCACATAATGCTCTCACTCCAATTTGCAGAGCACAAGACACAGTTTAAGACTACAGGAACTTACAATTAAGACACTTGATTTAAAGTATATTGCCCTTAGTTGGAAAGGTTATTAACTACTTGATATTTATAGCTTGTCTATAAAAACAAGAAAAGGGGTCCAGTAGAGCAGCTCTTGAACGAAAGGAAAAGAGAAGGGTGTTCTGTGTAGGACTGGCTGTGGCTGTTTGCTATAGTTATTATATCTAGAATTGTCACATGCCAGCAGAGATACTGTTGATCACAGCCCTCGATGAAAGACCTTTGACAAAATGACAGAACTGTCTTAACAATTTGCTGGCGATTTTGCTTAAACAAGACTGATTTTCAGCCTTCATATAGAGAAAAGGCAGCTGCATGCTTCAAAGACAAACTGTGACTGTCTTGTAGAAACTAATCTAATAAAATATAGTAGATTATGAATCTGTTTAAAACTTGGCAAGGTATATAAATTGATTATGTATAACATTATACATAATATATAATGATTATTATTAACAAATTATTAATCATAATATTGATTATTGGAATTAATGAGGTACAGGAATGGAAAAAGGTTCATTCATGTGTATTGATAAAATTGGCAAGTAAAATTGATTTAACCCAGTTCAGCAATTTTTAGTCTTCTCTCACCACTATTAAAGTGCACCAGTGCACAATGATATGCAATACTAAAGCCATATATCCAATATATGCAACACAAGTCATGGAGTATAAATTTTGGTTTGTTAACATTTTTGTATGATTTTATAGGCAATTAAATTATATGTTGTTGCTCGATCAGGATGTGCAGAATGTTTCTCGGCTGCAGTTTTCGAAGTGATGGTCTACATGTTAAGGAGCAATCCCACCACTAGGTGGTGCACTGTCTGTTTCTGCCTGTTGGTCTCATTTCCTTTTGGTGGCTGAAGCTTGTCATGGTTTTGAATTGTATGCTGAGCAACAACAGGAACTTATAACTGAAACATATTCTCAAGTTTCTTATCTGACTGTGTACACACATAGCAAGTACACTGACAGTTTATTGACATGATTAAGTTCAATGTGCTGATTGCAACTCACAACTGACAACCCACTGGAGCTCAGCAGGTGTGAGCCTGGCCAGTACCTGGATGGAGACCTCCTGGGTAAATCTAAGGTTGCTGCTGGAAGTGGTATGAGAGGGGCCAGTGTGGGTCTTAATGCCTCAGTATAGTGACACTATAATAATACTAATGATAACAATAATTGCTTACACTTATATAGCGCTTTTTCTGGACACTCCACTCAAAGCGCTTTACAGGTAATGTGGACTCCCCTCCACCACCACCACCAATGTGCAGCATCCACCTGGATGATATAATGTACAAAGGTGCTGTCCTTCAGATGAGACATATAACCAAAGTCCTGGCTCTGTGTGGGCATTAAAAATTCCAGGGCGTTTCTTGAGAAGAAACTATGAATGTTACCACTGCATCCTGGCCAAATTTCCCATTGGCCTTTACCAATCATGGTCTCCTGATAATCCCCATCTATGAACTGGCTTCATCACATCACTCTAGCTGCCATTGCATCATCCAGGTGGGACTGCACAGTGGTGGTGGAGGAGAGTCCCCATTACCTGTAAAGCGCTTTGAGTGGAGGGCCCAGAAGAAGTGCTATATAAGTGTAAACCTTTTTTTTATAAACAATTGTCATCAACAGATCAACAGGGTGTCTACTATGAAAGTCACAAGCTGCTAGTGCATGTGTCTGCTGTTGAAAGTAATACAAGCCTTAGATCTGACATGCATGCTGCTGATGCGGTCTTATGAAGCTCTGTTCCCATGTGTCTCATGGAGCTTTAACAAGCACCTGTCCATTCACTAGTCTCTGACTTGAGATACCACATCCTCCCAGCTCCTACAGAGGTTCACCAGCCTGAAGCCTGGCAAGTAGAGTTTTCACAGCACACCTGTCATGTTCTCTCGCGGGAAGCCCTTGTTACATGAGTGGAATAAGGCCATGCTTTATCCTTTCCACTGATCCAGAACTACTACTGCAGCCATAAAACCAGTGTAATTCTGAACATGTTCAAACCTGAACTCTCATTTTTCTTTCAGTATTATGAAAAGACTTTCTGCCATATAATAAGTTTATTTTGCTGTGTGTTTTTTTTCATGTGTTATTCTTTACATTAGCCTCACAGTTTACAGGTGTAATTCTACTATTTAATACTTCCCAAGCAGTTCTGTGCCTTCATGTGGGAACTTATTCAGTGAGTAAGCTATTGACAGGAGTGCTCAAGCAACTTGAAGAGTCTGTCTGCACAGGACAGAGACACACAGGGATGGTCCACCTGCCTCAAAGTGCCTCTCTTATTTGCCACAGTCAGATTCTTGTACTGGTTGTGTCAAAATATTCTGGTTAAAATGTCATATTTATTAAACACGTAGTAATCACTTTAAAAGGAAAACTGCAATAACCAATAGATTTTCCCTAATTTGCACTTTACCCTTGTATTTTGATGAGGATTTCATCGGGCTCCTCCTCTCAAACCCTTGCAAGTTATTGCTCATTGTCTCATCTGTGTAAACAGTACCAGCCCTCCTATCTACAGGACAGCAGAGAAACAGAACTAGATTAGGTTGATTAGTTGGCTGAATGGCCTCCAATTATCTGTGGTCTTACTGACAAATGACATGCAAAAAGGAGGGAGAAGGAACAATAAAAGAAAGACACTGCAATCAGTTTTGACCTACCGTACACCCATTTCTGTCGAGTGTGATGTAGGCCAATATGGTCAAAACAGATCCCAGATGCTATGAAATAGTTCTAACTTGTTAACCTCACTAAAACTGAACTTTTCAAGTGGGAACATCATATACTGTAAATGACCCTATAGAGGACCAGGGTGGTAGGTGGGTTTAAATGTGAAATTCAGATTGTAAGGATGGAATAATAAAAATAATAATTGCTTGCACTTATATAGTGCTTTTCTGGACACTCCACTCAAAGCGCTTTACAGGTAATGGGGACACCACCACCAATGTGCAGCATCTACCTAGATGATGCAACAGTAACCATAGTGCACCAGAACACTCACCACACAGCTATCAATGGGGAGGAGAGCAGAGTAATGAAGCCAATTCATAGATGGGGATTAGGAGGCCACGATTGGAAAGGGACAATGGGGTTCCACCCCTACTCTTTTCTGTAAATCCTGGGATTTTTAATGACCACAGAAAGGCAGGACGTTGGTTTTATGTCTCATCCAAAGGACAGCACCTGTTTACAGTATAGTGTCCCCATCACTATACTGGGGCATTATGACCCATATGGACTGCAGGGTGAGCACCCCCTGCTGGTCACACTAACACCTCTTCCAGCAGCAACCTTAGTTTTACCCAGGAGGTCTCCTATCCAGGTACTGGCCAGGCTCATACCTGCTTAGCTTCAGTGGGTTGCCAGTTGTACTGTAAGTTGCAGAGTGATATGGCTCCTATATTTTTTATGAAGTTGTGCATGTAGTCCACATTGAGAGGAGCTCCCAGGCTAAACAAGAGTGGGTCCTCAACCACAAATCACGTACCATCAATATCTGTGACATCCCTTATTCTATCCTCAAATTGCTTTCCATGAAAACAAGCCCAAACACTCAACATTTCCTAGACGCCTTTTCACACTGACTATGTATTTGGAACTTTTAGGAGCTGAATTTATGTAATCTATGAGGAGTGCAATGCATTCTATGGATGATTTTAAATTGCCTTTCTACTGTCTGGTTTCATGTCCAATTTGAGAATTTTGGTCCACAGTGTCTCATAGGTTAAACTAGGGCTGGGCGATATGGCCAAAAACACTATCACGATAAAAATGTTCATATCAGTCGATATCGATAATTATCACGATAAATGTCAAATCATTATTTCTTTCAAGTTTAAAAGCAGATTTTTTCTCCTGAGTGAAAGTTGAAGAAACCAGACTGTTAATTGCTAAATTAAACAACTTTTTATTTTAAGAACACAACAAACACTTGCCAAACAGCAGAAACATTAATCAAATCTGTTACCTGCCCAGTCTGCAACATGCACGCTCACTCGTGCACAGTATTTTGTGTGCATGCGCAAAAGCATTAACATATATATCGAACATTTATCGAACTTTTGTTAAATTTATATCGAGGAAAATTATATCGCGATAATTATCGTTATCGAATTATCGCCCAGCTCTAGGTTAAACCAGTCTTTTAAGAGATTGTGCACTACACATAATTATGTTACCTAAATGGGAAACCATTCACACTATGCAAACTATTTGAAAGCATATTTTCAAATAGTATATCCTTAAAATGTCTACCACAAGACGACGTTGCTATAGGAAGGCTGTTCCGGTCTAATGATGCCTGTGACATCAAACTCAATCTCGACTTGTACAAACTTTAAGAAGTAATTACAGAAGCATAAAAGAAATGGCTAAATGAGGGAATATTAAGTTAAAAGGGGGTTATATTTTGATTTAATCGAGATTCCATAATGCCCATCAAGTGAGAAACCCCATACTAGAGTGACACTGAACCAGCGCTCAATCTGATGAGCAAACTGCTGCTGACAGCTGTTGTTTTATATTGTCTTGCAGTGAAAATTGTTTTGGTATGGTGTGAGGGACATAACTTGTATTCTGAAGGAAATGAGCATGTTTCCATACGTGGCGATGTGCATTTTTTATTTTGTCATACAATTACAACAGACTAGTCTATTAAGCTATTTAAATAGCTTATACAACAATGCTTCGTATCTGGACGGATATACATTATAACATCTCAAGTTATGTTCCAACAGATCACAAGCTTGGCGTTTACCCATTACTCCAAAGCTTTTTAAGGTCTATAATGATATTGGAAGTAGTAAAGAGCATATATAATATCTCAGCACCAGGGCTAAGAAGGACTACAACGTCTTCACGCTTACAGACATGAGCGGTGTCACCATTTCTCTCAGGTGGGGTTATTCACAATAGCATATTGGCTACCCCTGGCCAAGAGGAATGACAGAACACATCACATCGTAACTTACTGTAACAGGAATGCTAACCAAGGGATGCTGTGAAGGAACTGATGTTTTCTCTTTATTTTTTTTTTACAAACAAAATGTATAAACACATAATCCGTTCTTCAACAAAATTACGAAATTAATTGTGGATTAAAGAGAAAAAAACAGCATTGTGACCTCTGCAACACTTGTCCATGCACATCAAATACACGTCGAAGGCAAAGAGATACAAAACAAGGTGAATTACCGCTCTAGGTTCGACTCTTGTCCTGAACAGTTTAAACAGATACTTTTTTAGTTGAGCAAGACCACAGGCAACAAGTCTCAGGCGGTCTGTCTTAACAAGGATGGAGCCTAGTCCTTTGGCTTTCCCTCTCTGCCGTCCAGCAGCCCCAGCAGAACAGCGTCAGCCTCCAGCAGGGTGGTGTCCGTGTTGGCCCCCAGGAACCGGGAGGTGAGCTCCAGGTCCAGCAGCCTCAGTCGGACCCTGGTGCCCCGCTGGTACTTCTCTCCGTCAGCGGCTGGCCTTTTGCACACGCAGTGGAACTTTCCTCCGAAATCAATGTACAGATCATCATTGACGATGTGAAAGATCCTGCCCAAAACCATTTTATCTTTTGCAGGTCCCATCTGCAAAAGCGGAGAGTGTCTCAGGAGCGAGGCAAAAGATTTCTCCTTCTTGGATCCAGGAGCCAACCCGACTGCGCCGGCGTCCCTCCGCTGCAGACCGGAGTGGAGATCGAAAGCGGCCGCGAAGCCGCTTCTTGGCTTCTCGGGCCCTGAGGTAACCGTCTCCTTTTCCGTCCCATCTCCAGAGTCACCACTGCTGTAGTGACTGTGTGGAAAAACACTCGTAATCACGACGCGTCCCCGTGAATGAGCCCAACAGGAACCCCTGCGCAGCGAGCACACCGCCCGACACAGAGCCGCCATCTTGCTCACCTCGGCGACCCTGAGGCTGGGCGATGGGATTGTGGGATAGCGAGTCCTCCGGGTACAAGGCCGCAGTATTGTTTTATTATTGTGCAGGTTTCAGTACTGCGGTACTAATGTCAGCCCTTTTGAGTTAATCTGTTTACATACTAAAGTATTTCCATACTATGTCACAGGAATATATACATATATTAATACTCCTAGTCATTAGTTTGAATAACAGAACTTAAAACCATGTAAGACCTTTTTATATATCTTTATTGTCCATCCAAAAGTTTGGAAATTTGTCTTTGGTATCAAAATGAAAATACAACAAAAACGTTAAAAACAAACAATAGTACAAGCTATACAACAACACATACACACATTTCACTCTGTCCGTATTCTACTATCATTACATTAATCCAACAGCATCATACACCACACGTAGCAGAGTGTAATACACCCTGCACAGGGAACAAAAGATTTCTTGTATATATTTGTATACTATTGTTACATAGCCCCGAAAAGCTTTGCAATTTTCACAGTCTTCTACTTTGTCGTAATCCATACCTAGACTTTTAAAACCTATTCGTTAAATCGCTAAAATGCATAATATTTTCAAGGAGCATTGTTTAAAATGGGCTCATAGGCGGTGCAAAACTGAGGCTGAAGGAGTCACGTGACACAAGGCTGGGCATTCGACTGGGTCGATCTGTGACGTTGATCTGTGACGTCACTCGGTGACGCACTTCTCTTACAAGAATTTTCCGGAAGCAGAAGAGCTGTGTTGTGTTCTAGATAGTAGTGTGAAGTACTGTTCAAGATGGAGGTGTTTGTGTGTGATTTCTCATGGCAGTCTTATAGTTTATTTCTCTCTCCTGGCGCCTCTGTTGGGAATTTAATACATCTCTTTTCTGACACGAAGGTGAGTAGCCCTGTTTTTGTAGTTTGTAATTGTATTTTGCGCAGTTCTAAAGGACTGGGATTTGAACGTACAGAGCGTTAGTATTGACTTCTACTAAGTGGCGAATATATTGCGCCGGAGCACAAATAATATTTTATGTATGTGCCTCATTAATTCGTCTCTGTACGTTTTTCAGTTTAGATTATTTTCTCGTGCGACTTTCTGTCACAAGCAGTTTCCTTCCATTTCCAGAACTTTTTTTTTTAGAATATGCTCAAAGTTAAAAAGATTTGGGTTCAGTTCAAAAGAGATCAAACACCTAGCAGTTGACGTTTAATGTAGGCAAATATAGGTTTTGTATGCAGGCAGTAGAACCTTGAACTGTAACGACAAAATCTGAGAAACTGAAAGAGGCTACTCAAGAAAAACACTTAGGCGTTTTTGTTGAGACAGCATTTACATCTTGTAGAAAAAGTTCGAAAGCATGTAAAAGGGAAAACAAGATGTTAGAATATGTTGTTAAAAATGTAGAATGTGAATTAAAGGATATTATAAAGTGTAATGCAATAGTAAGATTAGAAAGTAAGTCAGAAAGATTGCTGCTCTGGAATCAGTCTAGAGAAGAAAAATTCAGGGGGCCTAAGGGAATGTCCTACATGGACAGACAAGGAATGAAACTGTTTTAAGATTATTAGAGAACTTGATACAACTATTCATAATTCTCAAAGGTACTGATAAACTCAACCCATTTGATTTCAGGACACAGTTGGAAACAACAGCAATTTTCACAGTCTTCTACTTTGTGGTAATCCATACCTAGACTTTTAAAATCTCTTCGTTAAATCGCTCAGATGGATAATATTTTCAACCTTGTAGTGGATAAAGTGGTTTAAGTTCAAGTTTGTCATTATACTCATATACAGGTATATGGTATAACGAAATGCTATTTAGCTAGCTCTCAGATGGTAAGCAGTACAAAAAAACAACAATAAAATTGTACAAGAAAAGAAAGAGACAACAGGCAATGTGCAAAACAACAACAGGTAACAGGTAATGTGAAAAACATCAAAACATGTGGAAAATCATACATCAACAGAATGAAATAAAGGATAGAAAATGATGGGGAGTGAGCTTCTAGACATGTGAGGTAGAGGTAGATTTCAATGTGTTTTTGAGTTTTGATAAAGAGAGAAGGCACTGTGAGGTTCAGATCATAGGTGAGAGAGGCTGGGAGTTTAATAGCTTGATAGTGTGGGGGTAAAAACTGTCTTTGAGTCTGGTAGTCCAGTACCGTTTTCCTGATGGTAGAGGGTCGTACAGTCTGTAGCTGGGGTGTGTGGGGTCTTTGATGGTGCTTGGAGCTTTCCTCAAGCACCGTCTGTC